ACACAAGGACAAATTAGTCCGCACGTGAGGCACCCACCTGCTGTCACGGGCCCAGTGAGGGCAGAAGTCAGATTTAAACCCCCTTCTGAGCCTCAGGAGTCTGGGGTTTAATCACTAAGCTGCACTGCCTAGCTGCATCTCTTTGGGCACGTACCACACAATTTTGTGTTGTTCTTTTGCCGTTGTTTATTGAGCACCTTCTATGAGCCAGACGCTATTCTAAGCATTTTACGTGAATTAGCTGATTTAGTTCCCATAACAACTCTGTAAGGTAGGTACTGTTATTACCCCCATTTTCCAGAAAAGGAAACCAGGGTGGAGAGAGCTGAAGTCCAAGGTCACTGCCCAGGCAGTCTGGCTGCAGAATCTGTGCTCTTAACCACAGACTGGACTGCTTTTTTTTTTTTTTTTTAATCTGTTTCCCCAATTAAACAGTCAACTCCCAGAGCAGTGTCTTATTCATTTCTGGCTCCCCTTCAGCTCTCAATACATGGCCCGTCACGAAGGAGGCCTCAATAACTACTTGTTGAATTGAACCACCAACAAACTTAGGAAACACGCACATGAGGGGCCCCTGGGTGGCTCAGTCGGTTAAGCGTCTGACTCTTGGTTTTGGCTCAGGTCAAGATCTCGCTTCTGTGAGCTCGAGCCCTGCCGAGGGCTCTGTGCTGACAGTGCGAGCCTGCTGGGGATTCTCTCTCTCCCTCTCTCTCTCTCTCTCTCTCTGCTCCTCCTCTGCTCTGCTCACGCTATCTCTGTCTCTCTCAAAAAGAAATAAATAAACTAAAAAAAAAAAAAAAACAGATATCCTAACAGGGAAGTTCTCAATCAATGGGTAAGCCCAGACCCAGGAAGGCAGCGGGGGATTCCAAAGGACCCACAGATCCATATGCACACCAAGTACTGAAGGCAGGTTGATATGTCTTGCATATAAAGCTAAAAAAATTTTTCTAAGGTATATTTGATTAACCACAATGGCAAACATAACATCAAAGTCATCTAAAAGCTTTCCTGAATTCATAGTAGCTTTGAGCCATCTATTCTCACAGCAAACGGATACAAAAATAACTACTATTTGGAAAGGGTACTGCGAATGACTGACCTTTAAAAATGCCCACGATCTTGGGGGGCCTGGGTGGCTCGGTCAGTTAAGCATCAGACTCTTGGTTTCGGCCCAGGTTATGATCTCACGGTTCGTGGGTTCGAGCCCCACATCAGGCTCTGCACTGACAGCACAGACCCTACTTGGGATTCTGTTTCTCCTCTCTCTTTGCTCCACCCCCTGCATGCACGCATATGTTCTCTCTCTCTCTCTCTCTCAAAATAAATAAACTTTTTTTAAAAAACGCCTACAATCTCAAAAAAGTTGAGAATCACTCAAAGCAGATAATGATGAAATGACTGGAGGTCACCTGGGTGGCTCAGTCGATTAAGCGTCCAACTTCAATTCAGGTCATGATCTCGCAGGTCATGGGTTCGAGCCCTGCATCAGGCTCTGTGCTGACAGCTCAGAGCCTGGAGCCTGCTTCAGATTCTGTGTCTCCCTCTCTCTCTGCCCCTCTCCTGCTCGTGCTCTGTCTCCGTCTCTCTCATAAATAAATAAACATTTTAAAAAATTTTTAATAATGAAATAACTGGAACTTCTGGGGAAACGTGGGGACCCTGGCCCTGAGATCTATCTCAGAGATGAGGAGATATTCCCCTCAAAGCCTTCATCCTCAACCCCAATACCCAGGGGTGGGAATGCATTCCTTTCCTGGAATGGGAAATGAGATGGAATTCTCATCCTGGCTGGATACGAATGTTCTAGAAGAAGTCTAATGAGCACAGGATATCGCAAAACTGCCCAGGAAATAGGAACAAATGTAAGGAGAGGGAATGAGGTCACAGGGTGGGGAGAGGAAGGCCAATCAGGAGGGCTGTCGCTGGACCTGTCATCTCCAGACACAATCAGTGCGTACAACCCCATGCCAACCCCCAACATATATCTGAAAATATCGGCGGACAGATTTTCATATACACATACAGCCTCACCCAAGACTTGATTCTCTCAAATGCCTATTAATGTCTCTTAATTCATTCCACAAATTTTTATCAAACACCCACTAAGTGCCTGGCACTATATTAGGTGCAAGGAATACAGACAAAGCACCACCACGATCACAAACCACAACAGCTACCCCATGCGCGCGCGCACACACACGCGCGCACACACACACACATACACACACACACACAATGGGTCAGATACACAGCCATCTCCCAGCTCCAACACAGCTAACGCGAACATTCACCCCAAACACATCCAACACACCCCCCATGATACACACACCTGTCCCTCCCACACACACGGACGCCAACACCTCTCTGCCACACACCCGCACAGCCCACATTCGGAAGCACACACCTTGTGTGACTCACTAGGAGCCTCTGGCCAATAAATCCCTTCAGGGAATGGACACAAGGGCTCTGACTGACCAGTGTGCCTCTGGCTGCATTTTTCATATGCTCGGGCCCAGTTCTGCCCGTGAGACGGGCTACTGTAACCTCTCTCTAACTCAAATTCCCCTTCCATCAAGTTGGAGGGGTGGTTCATCCCATTTTCTTTTTATTTATGTATTTATTTATTTATTTGGGAGAGAGAGGGAGGGCAGAGAGGGGCGGGGAGAGAGAATCTTCAGGAGGCTCCACGCTCAGCACGGAGCCCGAGGCTGGGCTCGATCCCAAAACTCTGGAATCATGACCCGAGCCGAGATGAAGACTCAGACACTCAACCGACGGAGCCACCCAGATGCCACCGTCCTGTTTTTCTTAGAAAGGCTCGGAGGGGAAAGGTCATAGAGACCAGAGAATCAAATCCAAAGTCATGGAAAGAAAGATTCCTTACGGAGTTCCAGTGTCTCTGAAGTCTTGCATTAAAACACACGCACACGGGTATCTACGCCTGAGCACACGCCTTACGCGTGTGTACTATTCACTCTCCTAGGCACTGGACTCCTATCTGTAAACACTACTAGTCAAGCAGACCATCTGCACGGAATATACGCACTGCCAGACTCGCAGCCTCTGCGTGCTGGCAAACACACACAGACACACACGATCACAGTTTAGGGAGCACCGGAACTCCTGGGAGAAAAGGTGAGAAGGTGTCAGGTGACTTCATACACACAGTTCCTGAAGATACATCCCGCCGCTTGGTACAAATAACCCCACAAAAGCAATCCAAACGCTTTCCTCATGGATCCCTCTACCACAGCGACAGATACACAGTCAAAATACTGTGCATCCCAAACCCAGGGCCACACCTGCAGACTCAGCTCCTGGGGTGGCTGTCCACACGCCGGCAGCCAGGAGCACACCCACCCCCAGAGCAGTCCCAGAGCCGCACCAGTTTGTGGGCACACACATGCACCCGCACACGCTCCCCAAAAGACTCTACGGCTGGGCAGGGGTGGAGGGGCGGGGAGGGGATCAGACACACACAGCTGCTAGGTGGCCCACAGCTTCTAGGGGTCTGCGGCTGGGGAAAGCATGCCTGCGGCCACCGACCAGGGCCGAAAGACACGGCCACCCCCGCCCCCAAACTGATGGGGACCGTCTCCCCCACGCCCTCGCCAGCCAAAGTACCACAGATGCCTTCCAGTCCCCCTTTCCCCATCCTCCTGAACCACAGCCCGCAGAGTCCCTGGCCCCTCACATCACTCAGCTCCGCCTCTCGCAGCTGGGGCGCTGGTGAAAGCTCTCCCTCCCCAAAGCTCCCTTTCCAGTCACAACCTCGCCATCCCCACTCTCCCTCACCTGCCGCCGCAGCGCCGGCGTTCCCTTCTCCCCACTCCCAGGCCCTCATCCTCCGGTCCCGCCCCGGCCTCACCCGCCGCGCTCCCAGATTCTCACTCGCAAACACTCACAGGCTTCTGCCGGCAGCACCTGCCGAGAGCGCCAGGGCCCGCCGCGCCCCCGCCCACA